TTTGCATTTTCAGATCCTGAACTACATATGCAGGGAAATGTGAATATTTGGGAAAGCACCCCTTCCCTACCTGGTGCCTTCCAGATATTTTGTAGTCTAAGTCCAACCATGGTGGTCTTAGGGTACTGAGAGCTGGTAGTCTCACATCAAGAGAGTACCAAATTGAGAAGGCTGCAGGAAAATTTCCACCAAGAATCAGTGCACGTTAGCTTTCCATGGTCAGTGGGGAAAAAATAACACCCAATTTCTTATTCTTCCCCCTTTCCCCCTCCATCCCACATTCACTGTTGAGTAGGAAAGCTGTGGGGATATTGTCTTTCATTACTTGCAGGTATAGGTTTCAGTACTTTTTTTGGAGCAGAGAAAATGTGCATCATATTGAGTGTTCAGAGCATGCTGTATTTTCCTGTTGCTTATTTTTGCCCTTTTACTGCTGTGAGATTTTGCTGTGTCATTTTTTTGATGTCGCTGCAAGATACTCTGCATGGTTTTATAATGGAAAACAGCATAGAAAGAAACGAATGATGCTAAACTGGATCATACCACTTCAGGCCGCAGGGAGGGGAATGCAAATTTTGAACATTTCCCATTGACAATAAAAACTAATTACAAGGAAAAACAAACAAGCCAGAACAGAGGCATAATCTATTCAACAACATCTCTCTCCTGCAGTAACAATTTCTGCCATCTTATTTCCTACCTCACTCTGCTGCATGGCTGGGGAGTTGAAGGACTTTCTTTTGTCCAGATAGGCATAGGGTTGCGCTTTAAGACTGAAAATGGAATGAAATCTTCTTCCAGGGCAGCCTCGGTGCCATCCAGATGTTTCAGACTACAATCCCCAGTGTCCCTAACTATGCTGGCTGGGGCTGATTGGACTTGAAGTTCCAAACATCTGGAGGGCACTTGTTTGGGGTGCAGCTGCTCCAAGGCCTTTCCCTGAACCAAGAAAGCTCCTTTGTCTTCCGTCTCTGAGCTTGGTCTTTCAATTTTCAGGACTGGAATATTAACGTGGCTGATCGCAGGAGCGATTCAAAACCACACCCGCACAAGGAAGAGCAAAATAAGCCTTAAGCCTCTTCCCCCCTTGATTCCCTGTAATATAATGTCCCCCTTGAGGTCCAGAGTACTGCAGGAAGCACACGGCGGCTCAAACATTTTTCCTCCTTTCCCATATCATACGGTGCATTCCTCGCCTTCCAGTGGCCTATCAGGTACCTAAGCAGGCTAAATCCTCAGATAACAGTAGTAATAAAACCCAGAATTTCAGCTCCATTCTTCACAATGCTTTATGATGTGTTACCAAAACATGGCAATGTTTCCATAGGAAGTCATTTGAACATGTTATTGTTTTATAGTCTGTAGCTAATAAACTACCATAAAAACAATATTGCCGCAACCACTCCAAACGCTCCCCCCCCTTCTTCTTCTCCCCATTCCACTTTTTGCTTGTCCTATTTTGCCAGGACCCTGACTCCTTTTCAGAATGCCTATTCACAAAATAAAAAATGGGGCAGAGGCTTATTTCTAAATACAGAAGCACCTTAATAGAATAAAGATGTGATGGAAGTCTACAAAAGTGCTGCTGAGGATACAGGTTCAAAGACATTCCCACAACATCCAAACTTTTTTATCTGATCAAATTCCAATAAATCCTGCATTTGGCATCAATCTTTATAAACATAGCAAGAGACACTGCTGGATGTTTGAGCTTGTTTGTTTAAACATTTTATTTCCCTTCCCTCTTTTAAAGTATTTTTATCCCGCAGATATTACTGATAGCCTTGGTCTTTTGTTAGAAACTATGGTAGGGAGAGTCTCTTTTGCTCTATGGCTTAAGGGAGAAGATGCACACGACGTAACCAGAGGATGAGACAAAAACGTTCCTTCTCAGTGACTTTACAGGTTCACCATAAGCCAGTGTGACATGATGGCAAGAGTTGGACTGGAGTCCTGGGAGATCCAGCCTCAGTCCCCCACTCAGTCATGAAGCTCACTTGGTGACTTTAGGCCAATCTCTGATACTCAGCAGGGTGGTTGCAAGGATACAACAGAGCAGAGTACTATGAATGTTTTTCTGGGTTCCTAGCAAGAGGAAACAAGGCATGATATAAATCCATACTAATAATTTATTATTGTGGGAGGGACGGGGAGAAATTTCTAGACCCTGCCTCCTAAAGAACAATGCTGTGTAATTTGGGGAACATAATGATGTCAAGCTCTCATCTATGGCTGCCTACAGAAACACTGGCTCATGTAGCTCCATATTGTCAGGCGTGATGGACCTCCTTCAGACCAAGAGACAAACTCCATTCCAGAGAAGCTCTCTAGGGCTATGTTCAGGTGGAGGACAAGGCCAAAATAGCACAACTATCAACACATTTCACCTGAAAGTTCTCACAAGTGTAACTAAGCCTTAGGAGAGGTACTTAGAATTTCAGAGGGATCTACACAAAAGCCAGGAAAACACCCAAAGACCAGTGGTCACAGAAAGTAGGCCCAGGGGAAGGGGGTGCTGCCATCTGGGAAAACAGAGATGATCAGAGTGGGACCTGAGGTGGCCTGGATTTGATCCCCAAAGCATTTGGTCTATCATTGCATGTGCTCTCCCACTGAACTCATTAGTCAATGGGCCAATACACAAAGCACTCCTACATGGAAGAGCCAATTCGTATATTCAACTCTGAGGATTATGTTCCATCCATAAAAACTGTTGACTTCTCATGCTTGGGTGAATTGGAAAATTGCTCAACAATTTATTACAGGCTCAGATGGCATTTCTCCAATACGTACAGAGCTAATTTGCTTCACTCCACATATTAATGCTTGTTTCACTCTAGCCTGAACCTACATGAAGATAAGGGTTCCCTTCCTGACACTTCTTTGCCCTCAGTGAGTTCAACTGATAAGCATCCCTGTGGTAGTTACTTTATTTATGACCATGTGGATAGGGTTTCCCATGGACAACTAGCTCTTCTTAGGACTCAGTTTCTAAAAACTCAGCCTTCAGTATAGCTCTGAAACTATCCCACTTATACATATATATCAGCTTGGCAAAAAACTGGTGCTACTCATTTTGGAGCAGTAGCCAAAAGCAACCCATTCACCTGCTTCAGCTCTGGTACCAAATAAAGCCCATTCACAGCCAGATTGCAATGGCCATTTCCCAGCTCCTTCACAGCTGCTTCTCCTTTTTTTGACAGCAGATGCTTGCTCAAAATATATCCTGTTATGAAAACAACTTTCCAACTTTCTCTCAGTCTGGTCAGATATATGCTTTAAAAGAAATTTATTTACTTTGAAAGACTTTACTTCCAAATGTTTATATTACCTAAGGTGGAAGTAGGTAAACTTTCTGGGCACCACCACAAAATGGCTTCCATTGAAGGCAGGGCTATTCACCTAGAATTGCCCCCAATCCCTGCCCAGATGACTGAATACGAGGCTGAGATGGGGTCTGAACTGCAACACTTTAAGCAAGTTCTTTGAATGCAGTTTTCAGCGCCAAAAGAAACTTACTTCACAAAAGACAAACACCTTTTATCACCTGCCACCTCCACCAACCCACACATCCCCTCATCTCTCCCTCACTAGTCTCCATTGTCCCTGAAGCAATTCCAGCAGCTTGTAAGAACACATGTTCACTATTTTTTTTTTGAGGAGGAGAGCCCTCCAGAAGCGTCCTTTAGCACCACTTGGTCTGCTCCTGACTTAGGGATGCATCTCCTTGCAATTTAAACCATTTTCAAACCTTTTCCACCATCATGATTCCCATCCAAGCGCTCTGGGACCTGCAGTGCTCCCTCTGACAAAAAAAAAAAAAAAAAGTAATCCCTTTAGGGATCTACATTTCCTATGCTGCTTTGGGGAAATGTACATTGGCTTGAATTTGTAGTATGTGTGTGCCTTTAAGCTGCACTTACTTGTGTGTCAACCCCACTACATCCAAATGTGACTTAAAGGTCTTTTTCCCTTGCAAGGTACTCAAGGCAGTTTACATAATTCTCCTCCTCTCAATCTTATTCTTACAACAGCAACCCTGAGGCAGATCAGGCTGAGAGTCTGCAACTTGCTCAAAGTCACTAGAACTCACCCAGTGCCCAATTTATATTTTTTTCAACAACAGGAGAAAACCTTTTTCTTTTCCTACCATTTTAACAGTTTAACATTTTAACTTTAGTTTTAATATTTCCATTTATCCTATACTGCTCCTATGCCGATTCAGTTGAAATGGCTGTGGCTTTGTTGTTTTATGCTAATTTTTCTTGTTTGCATGTTCTTAACTTTTGTTAACCACACAGAGTCTGAGCTACTGGGAGTTACAAAAATGAAATAGATAAACAAATGAAGAAATGAATGAATAATAAAAATAAAATCCAGGTTGCCCGAGTCCCAGTCCCACATTCGTAACCACTACACTGTTTGGACATGCTACTCCAGTCTCCATGAAGTAGTTTCATTTTAAAACATAAACGTAAATGCCAGAGAGGAAGGAAAAACATGAGAAGCAATTTAAATTAGTCACGTTGTTTTCACACATGAAGTTTAAAGTAGACTTGTTCTTAGCCAGCTTCTAACGGAGATGTACAAGTGCACTGGTTGGCATACACATTCAATTTTTCTTCCAATTTCTCTCCTTCATTAACAGAACTCATATATGACATAAAACTGCAAGAAAATTTCAAACACACTTATCTGAACTGCAAGTTTAGAGGAGTCTTATCTTATTTTCTTAACTCCTCCCTAAAAAATCCTGGGAATTGGAGTTTGGTGAAGTAGAGATTCTCAGATCTTTTTCATTGAACTATATTTCCCTGAGTTCCCTAAGAATGAGCACTGAAATCAGCAAAGGAGAGGTACAAATGCATTTATATCACCAATTTAGATCAGGGACACACCATTCTAAGTAATCTGTGCCACATAAACATGAAAGGGGTCACATGCAAAAAATAAAAAGAAGAAAAAGAAAAAGCCATTCCAGCACGTCATCCCCACTTTACCTGATATAGCTCTATCCGTTGTTCCGAGACACGAGCCTTTGGATTCTGTAAGCGAAAGACTCTAAACTCTGCCTTCACCAGGTTGGAAGCATTTTTTTCCATTGCCGAGACATCAAATCTCACTCTTCTAAAATAGGGGATGGGATTGTTTGTTGAGATGAGATCTGCAAGAAGTTAGTGTAATGGTTTAAAATGATAAATATATTGCTCTTTCACAGGCCACAACACAAGACAGACAGACACAAGCAACAGCAACGGAAATGTCTACAGGATGATTCAGCTCCCAGCAGCCAATTTTGATATCATTAGCAATTTAACTGGATAAACAAACACATGTGTTTGATTATGGAAACAGCAGATTAATAGCGATCAGCAAAGTATTTCCAACTCTCTTTCAGGGGCATGCATTTAACCCTGTTCTTTGAAAGCAATGGTGGAAAATCCTGGATGATTATAAATTGGAACCAACTCATGACAGCTGATGTTTCACAAATGACTCCAGCCTTGCATACGCTTAATCGCAATTGCCAAGAAAATAGAATTAATGACAAAGTGGTTTGCCCTGGGTAGTCTGAAAAAAAGAAAAAGAAATGAAAGCCTGGAGCAAAAATGTCTGAAGTCTTGATAATCTGTTTTGTCTTTTAAACATTTCAATTGTCTCAAGTCTCAAAGAAGAGGAAAGGAAACAGACAATTGCATAACAAATCTAAGACTTTACACAAAGTCCAGAAAAGTGTGTGGGAGGGGGGAGCAGAAGAACCAGTTTCACTTCATCTTGCACTTATTTTAAAAAGTAGTCGAACACACTGATGCTGACTGGGCTGGGTGTGTACAGTTGCACTGAAATATTTAGTGCTAGATTTACAAATATCCATAGTTTCCCATTCAAATGGGCATCCCTTTACATTACAAATGAAGCAGGAACATGGGAAGCTGCCCTATTCTGACTCAAATAACTGGTTCATCTGGTATTTTCAACACTGGCTGGCAAAAGGGCTCCAGATGCTTTTCCTGCCCTTTCTAGAGATGCTAACTGGATACTGACTGTGGTCTTGACTCTAATGACAGATCAATTTAGTTTGCAATGGCCATTTTAAAACAGGAAATGTCAACTGTGGAGAGGTGCAATCAAGACTGGAGAAGCAGCAAGGAACAAGCACTTAACCACTGCTCCGCTCATCACCCCACCCCCACCATGTCCTCCTCTCCATTCCAGTGATGTTCCAAATGCAGGCACGTTCATTTGGAGCTTTCCAGATGGAGAGGTGTTTGCTGAAAGATCTCTCTCAGTGAATACTTACAGAGAGCATGACTGAGCAACCTTGTCAACTAAATATTTAGCAATAAAACGATCATCATCATTAAGAGCTCAGCCAAGGATCCACTATTAATTCAGCAGAAGGTGCACAGTCCCCATCATCTCTATTTCCTGTCCCCCAACTTTGACTATGTAGCCATCTATTGTCTTAAATTAATTGTAGTAGCTCTTTGGGATCTCAATCTTTCAGCTTCTGGAGAGGGGACAGGGTGCCATTTTCTCCAGTGTCCTTCTGTGAGTTAACTAGGTATATTATCAAATACACTAGGAAAACTCGGGGTAAACCCTGATTTGCTTGAATTAGAGGAAAAGAAAGAAGGAGAATTATCTGAGAACTGTTTCTCATCAATAGACCCATGATTGCTCTCACCCTGAAGAGCTTATGGAGGCCTAACGGCTCATTCAGGCATCTGCCTCAAAACTGGAATGGTATCTTTGTGTTTGCCCACATGTACTGCTCCCACTGGCTAGCCAACAGAAAGAACACAAGAGATGCAATTTTGTTTGTCCACCAATTTTAGCAATATGAACCAATACACTGGGGAAAGTGGAGGGAAAGTGTCCCTCTTTGCCATTCTGCAGTCTACCTTTGGCTGTAGCTGACAATCCACAAGGACTGAATATTGCTTCAGAAATACTTCTGATGCCACTGACAGGGCTTCACTCTACAAAACAGAATTCCCTAAGTGTGCACAGCATTCCATCAAGACCTGGCCCAAAGGTTTTGGCCTTTGAAGCAAGAAATGCAGATAACCCATGGGCATGGGGTACAATCACACAGAAAGGTTTCTGATTAAAGCCTCTTTAAAATAAACATGAGCTGCAGAGGAACACAACAAAGAACTGTGGTCAATGGGAAGTCTGCTAGGGTGAGAGACAAATAAAAATGAATACTGAATGAATACTTTGCACCGCTCTTGTTCATTACAACTGCACTTACATCCATCCCACTAGTCAGAGCCCTCTGTCCTAGGTTGTTCTTCATAGCACAAGCACCTTAGGAGACCCACACTGAACCTGACCAAAGTTTTATCTAGTCCAACATTCTGTTTCTACAGTGGCCAACCAGCTGCCCCAGGAACCCCACAAGTAGGGTAGGAATGCAATATCACCCCCCACTCATGTTCCCAGAAACTGGTATAGAATGCTGGAGGTTGTGGTCTCCATGACTAGTAGCCTTTCAAGCCCATAACCTCCATGAATTGCTCTAATCCACTTCTAAAGCCATCCACGTTGGTGGTCATCAGTACATCTTGTGAATTCCACACTTTATAATGTCCTGGGATAACCTCCAAGTTCTAGTATTACGGGATCCACTTTTTTCTGCACTATACACAATGTTGTACAATTCTTTGGCAAACACCCAAAGTGGTGGCCTCTCCAATCATGGCAGGACACCACTCATGTTTCCTGCCATGTTTACATTTAGATCATACATCCATAGACTAGTGTTCTTTTTGCATCTGGTATCCAAAAAGCATAATGCTAATTAAGCTTGCTAGATAATAAATAATGAAATTAATCAGAAAGATGTTCAAAGGGAAAAATCGCCACCCCCTGGTAGTGCTGATGTGAGTCCGGTCCATTTCAACAGCAAGTGCAGCTTTCTTGCTAGTGAGCAATGACATCAACTATTTTTGATGGACTGTCCTAAGTGAGTGAAACTAATTCAATATGTTTCCTGTTGTGGGAAGACATAAACAACTTTTCTTCTTCTCTTCAGGGAAAAATCAGACCATACAGCTTGACTTTTCTATTTTTCAGTCTTTCTTGCTCTCTCTTATTCACACACACACAAGACTGAAAGCTCTAATGTAATCCTTCCAACAAAAGTGGGCAATAAATGTTCTGAAGATTTATTTTTATTTCTTTTTGTGTTTGTTAAACTTTGGCGAGCTCCCCCTGTCCTCCACACATCTCTTTTTCTGGTCCTTTGCCCACCCTTAATTGCAGCAGCCACAAGCCATGGAAGCCCGGGTGCTTTCCCCTTCTCGTTTATGACTGAATCACATGAAAGGTCGCATAGTAGGCTTTGATGGCATGTATTTATGCAAATATTTATAAGAGTCACTTGATCGTGATTAGAAGTGGATGCGATGCTTTCGTTGCTCTGGCTTGCTTCCCTAGACCTCACCCTAGTAGGGCTGTTCAAGTTGTTTCAGTTTCAGCAGATAAGAAAAATGGATTGAAACAAAATCAAAACAAAACACAAAGAGCTAAAGTTAGTCACTTCTGTACATGGCAAAATGCTTTCTTCTTGCTCTCTGCTTAGAGCTGGTTCCCTGATTTGCATATGGGCATCCATCCAGCACTGTCTCCTCCTTCAATAACAATGAAACGTGATAACTGATACTGTTTGCACGGAAGGCAAATCCAAAGGAAGAGGTTATTATGCTGTCACCGCATGTCTTTCCGGTGATCTCTCTCCACACTGCCAGGCACTCAAGTTTCACTAACCTTCTCCCCTCTATCAAGGGAGCGCTCTCCAAGAAATAAGATGCATGCGGAACACAGCTGGACCCCCCAAAACTAACTGCGACAAACCACTGCTTGCTCCTTGACCCTGATGGGAGTACAGCATGGTGCAGGAAACAATGGCAGATGACGTCCAATGCTACTAAGTGCAAATGGATGAGGACTGGAGCAAAGCACAATAAATAGAAAGAAGAACATCTGATGGGACAACTGAGACCGAAATAGCAGCAGGAAATGGGTGTTTATACTTTCCCAAGGCCTCCTTCTCCCCATCACCCCAAGAGGCAGCAGAGTGGCAAGCAGGGCTCCTTCAAGGAGCAGCTACATCCCCAATCCATCTTTTCTTCTTCCCACAGAGTGAAAGATCAGGCAGGGGTCTCTCTGGAGAGGCCACCTGGGCTCCTGTCTGTCCCCCACAGAAAGTCTCTTCGAGAAGAGATCGAGGAACGCACAGTCTCTCTCATGAGGCTGCCAGTATGGTCTCTCATGCGGGGTGGGAGGTTGGTGGCTTGTGGGTTTGCCACCACCACTGCAGGGCCCATCCTCCTGCTTCAGGGGGTGGGACCACTGCCCCAGTCTGCCATGTTCTCACCCCAACTGCTGCCTCAAGTGATTTCTCGCACACACAAAATTCTGCCTCCATGTTCACCATTAGTGAACTTTCGCATGTATGAACATGTGCCTTTTGAGTTAGTCTGAAGGGCCTCTTTTGTCATCTTTTCTTTAGTCTTGGTTCCCCCTCTGAGGCAGTTTGTCCCACTTAAAAAAAGCTGTTTTCACAAGAATGATGGTGCACATGTTCACACATTCTGTCTTGTCTGACCCCTTGCAGAAAAAGAGATTTTGAGGGTGTTGTGAGGAAATCTATGGAAATGACAACTCACTCATACTGTGAGAGGCCGTTTTGGTTTTTTCTTCCCCTTTTGAAAATACCTGTGGGTGAGGTGAGTATGTTTGAATATGTTGGTATATTCCAGCATTTATTGGAATATTTTCAGGTATGTTCAGCCCATTTCAGACTCCTGCAATGACAATGGAGATGTCCTTTGCTGAGGGTGAAATTGTTGTCAGGGTCTGTGGCTGGGACAAGGGCAGTTGGAGACAAGGCAAAAAGCAGGGTTTAATGGGAAGTCCAAATCATAGTCATAGTTCAGGCTGAGGACAGGAAGCAGAAGAATGCATGAGGGCAGAACAAGGATGTGGTCAGGAGCAAGCCAAGAGTCAAGAACCTGGAAGACAAACGGAGGGGCAGGTACCTGGGATAGGATAATAGGGCAAGAGGCACAGCAGGGCAGGACTCATGGCAAGGTAAGACACATAAGACAACAGGAACCAGAAGCAGCAAGGGTCAGGCAAGACGCAGGAGCTGAA